CTCACAATCTAACAGGGAGACGACCTGCAAACCAGTATAGAGAATACATACTCTAGACAGGGTAAAGAGGAAATGATGAGCAGAGGGAAGGCTTCCTGCTGTGCACACGCCCCACCTCCATTTCTGCCCTCCCTTTCTCTGCTTCTCTGTGCTCAGCCTTGGCCTCGCCGTCCTCACCAGGGCAGATTCAGAGCCGTGGCCGGATGCCGGCCTCTGTGGCCACTGTGACTCCGTGCCCAGCACCTGGTCAGCCCTGGGCTCCTTGGGTTCGCCCCAAGTCTGCCTTCGGAGGCTTCCCTCGTGTGTCTGTCCCTAGGGAGTGAACTGTTTGTCAGCAGCTGAGCTCAGCCCCCCGGCCGTCAGCCGGCCTGGGTTCCGGAGCTCGGCCCCCCGGCTTCCTGCACTGGTGGGCCGTTTGGTTGCTCAGAAGTAAAGGCGATTGCTCGGGGGTGGCAGCAGGCCGGCCCTCGGGCCCTGTGTCCCAGGAGGATGAACTGAGTGCGGCCATCTCCACTCTGGCCCTTGGGCTGGGCTGGGTCTAGCTCCTTCCTGAAGCTGTTGGTTCTGCCTCAGTTTCCTCACTTTGCTGCCTCTGCTGAAGAGGCTCTGTTTTCCCCTTCTGCTTTCCCACCTGCTGCCTTTCTCTGGTCAGAACCTGCCTGGAAACAACCCCTAAGCCTGCTGGTGTGATCCCAGGCATGTCACTGACTGTCTCAGAGTCTCAGTTTCCTCTTCTGGAAAGTGGGGATAATTGTCTTTGCAATAAGAAGCTTGCTGTGACCTTGTGAGGAAATCACACGATAAGCCTCAAAGCTCCTGGGAAAATGAAGCTGCTTTCCGGGAAGACAGACCCAGGGCCTGTCTTTCAGGGAGTGACGCAACGGCCTTGCTTTGGAGTGGACTCCTTGGCCTCTCCCCATTGTGTGTGTGGGGAATGTGTCGGGGCTCCTTCGCCCTTTGGTTTTCTTCTCTGGAGAATGAGGGACCGGGATTTAGGAAACACTGGAGCTCAGAATGAGTGGATCTAAGTACGGGTGGAGTCTTGGCTCCCCGAGGAGAGAGGAGGCCGCGTGCCCTCTTGTGGGGGAGGGCAGAGGCGGAGTGCAAGTGATCCTCCTCGGATGTGGGCTGGATAACTGGAAAACCTTGGACGTCCCTTCCCTGGGCCCCTGCAAGGGCTGGCTCTGATCTGCCATGCTCTGCTTGGACAGAACCAGAGGCTCAGATTCTCAAAGAGAGAATGCGGGGGTGGGACCTGCCCCCAAACAAACAGTCAGCAAAGAAGGTGAGGCCTTCATGAAGGGAGATGATTCCCAAAGGGAGGTCGGTGCACCCAAGAAAGCCTCCTGTCTATTCCCCTCCAGGTGCTGCCATTGCTGGGGCCACCTCCTGGGAGGAAAGCAGTGGGGTGGGGGCGGGGTGCCTTCCTGCACCTGGGCCAGGTCGGTGCTTCTGTCTTAGCTGCCTGGGCAGGTGAGAGAGGACCGGAGACCCGGCCATACGAGCATCCTTAGCTGAAGGAGGTAGGAACGTTCAAGCTGGGTGGGCGGAAGGGGGGCTCTTCATCTGTCTGAAGGAGGGCATTTCTCAAATAGAAGAAAGGGGAGAGAGGAGAGAGGGACAGAGACAGAGAGAGACACAGGGAGAGGTAAAGGTAGAGGGGGCGGGGAAGAGAGAGAGGGAGAATTCCATTTAAAGTAACAACAGAAGATAATGACTGCCTGACACTTCCCTAATCTTTCTGCAGAGAGAGTTGGGCCCCTGCTCTATCGGTCCCAAGCAGAGAATGGTGGGCCAGGAAGGATCGGGCCACTAAAGCATCATTCTCTTGGGGAGCGAGGCCCCAGGGCCCCAGAATCATAGAACCCCAGAGCAGGGGGCACCGGGGAGGCCTGACCAAATATCCCTCTACAGAGAACAGAGGCACAGTAAAGGAAGACCTGAGTGAGTGAAGAGACGGTCATCGGTTATGGTTATGCCCAGACGGCCAATCTGATAAAAATATCACCCATTTTTAACTGTACCAATCAAATGATCAAACTGGCACCTTATGGAATATGACAAAATAATTATAAAATTAGTATAGGAGGAAAAAGGAAAAAATCTGGTCGGTCACTAAGCGTTGATTAAGCATCTACTGTGTGCCAGGCACTGTGCTAAGCCCTGGGGATACAAACAAAGGCCAAAGCCAGGCCCTGTCCTCAAGGAGCTGCCAATCTCATGTATGGGTTACCTCCCTAGAGCCCCACACAAACAAGTGGCTGGTCCCCAGGACCTAGGGAACAGCAAAAGCACCAGCTTCGGCATCGCCAGAACTCAAATTAGATTACGTGGCTCTCGTTGCACGGCCAGCATTCTCTGATACCGAGTAAAAAGCAGAAAATACGGACTTGGAAAGGACCCGCTAAGCACAGCTTAGGAGCAGACGAGCCTGGCGCCTAGCAGACCATAACGTGACGCACACACGGCCCAGGGGAACCCCTGACAGCAGTGTGGTGGAAAATGGGGCGCAGAGCGGTGACCGGCACACAGTGCCAAGTGCGTTAATAGGCTGAATAGTGGCGGGCGCCCATTCAGGCGCTGCAGCAGAAGGCAGGGTTCTCTGCCTCACGACTGGGTGCAGGAATTCACAACCAGCTGGGATACGGAGGATCCCCCAAAGCGCTCCTGCATGGAGAGGGGTCCGCCTTCACCCGCTTGTTCCCCGGGGGGCTTCTCTGGGGAGGAGACTCCCCCCTCCCTGGAGGTCTGCAGGCCAAGGCGGGACGCCCACTGGCAGGACTGTGGCCGGGATTCCCGTGCAGACGCGAATAGGTTAGGCTGGCGGCCTCTGAAGGCTCTTCCAACTCCAAGGTTCCACCGGTCCCCCGCTAGACTGGAGGCTCTTTGAGGGCCAGAGTCGGGGCTGTTGTCCAGTGCGCTGCACAGGCTCCCCTTGCCTGAAATGCCCTTCAAGGCCTAGCCCCTGACCTCTCCGGTCCACCTTTGAGCACTCGACACAACACTGTCTTGTCATCGGATCAGGGAGCGTGTGGAGGGCTCTGCTTTGGGAGTAGCGAGGAGGCCGGCTCATCTGGAAGAGTTGTGGACAGGAAGAATGGAAGGAGCCTTTGCCTGAGGGCCAATAGAGGACCCTCCATTTCATCCAGAGGCAACAGGGAGCCACAGGACATTCTGGGGGAGGGCTGACATGGTCTGACCTGCTGTGGAGGCAGAGAGACCAGGTGCGAGGCTCCTGCAGGGCTCCAGATGTCCGAGGGTCAGGGCCAGATCTAGGAGTGGCTCTGATAGAGGCAGCGTGGTATGGCAGATACTGGCATGGACCTGAAGTCACACAGACCAAGCTTAAGGCCAGACACTGCCAGCTACTGGCTTTGTGACCTTGAACAAGTCTCTTACCCTTTGGGCCTCAGTTTCGTCATCTGTAAAATGAGGATTCTTGACTGGACGAGTGTCTATGATAGAAAAAAGCACCTATGAGAGGTGCTGTGAAGGCAGACAGTCAGGTTGGGCAGTGGGCTGGGCAGCGTATTCTTCTGAATGGCTCTTAGCGCCCGGCACGAGGCCGGGCCCAGGGAGGTGCTGGCAGACACTTGCTGGGGTGGGGGGGTGGGGTGGGTTTGTCCATCCATCCGCATTCACCTCCCTCCAGGAGAGCTGTGACTCTTCTTGGCGCCCGGAGTCTCTGGGCTCTGGACCGTGGCCCAGGCTGACCGAGCCTCTCCTCCAGCCGGTCCGCGCTCAGCAGGCCTTTCCTGCCGCTTCTCTCTGACACGGAAACAGGCGGAAGCCCTGTGCACACAGGACTCTGTCCTTGAGGGGAAATCGTGTGCCGCCATGGGCGTGTCTGTGGGTGGGGGAGGGTGTGTATGTGCGGGTCAGGTAATCCACATGTATGAAGCGCCTACTGTCGCCGGGCTCTGTGCTAAGTGCTAGGGCTACAAAGAGACAAAAGCCGGGCCCTGCCCTCGAGGAGCTCACAGTCCAGTGATGGAAACAATGTGTAGACAGATATGTACAAACAAGCGATTTACAGGATAAGTAAGAAATAATTAGGAGAGGGAAGGCACTGGAACGGAGAGGGGGGGAAGGCTTGGGCCAGGCTTCCTGAAGAAGATGGGACCATAGGAAGCTGGGGAGGTCAGTGTCCAAGCTGAGGAGGGAGAGCCTTCCAGGCCTGGGGGCCAGGGAGCATGCCCAGAACTGAGGGGCAGAGGATCTTGTTCTTGGAAGAGCAGAGGCCAAAGGGACTGGACCCAAGAGTACGTGCTGGGGAGCGAGGGTGAGAAGGTGGCAAAGGGCTGACGCCAAGCAGAGCAGTTTGTACTCGCTCCTGGAGGCGATCGGGAGCCCCCATGGAGGAGGGGGGATCAGGTTGTCAGACCTGATCTTTGGAGGCGGAAGCAGGCAGACCCCTCGGTGGCGACTGCAGTGGTCCAGGCGTGAGGAGATGAGAGTCTGGGCCAGACTTGGCGCCATATTGGATCTGAGGGGGAGAGAGTGAGGAGCCCAGGATGACACCCAGGTTGGGAGCCTGAGGGCCTGGGAGGATGGGGGTGCCCTCTGCAGGAACAAGGAAGGTAAGAGAGGGGAGAATTGAGGAGGAAAGACCACGAGTTTGGCTTTGGACAGAATGAGTCTTAAGAAGTCGACTGGACATCCCGTTCAAGACGTCTGAAAGGCAGCTGGGGATGAGAGATGGGAGGTCAGCAGAGAGACTAGGGCAGGAAAGGGAGATTTGGGAATCCTGAGCATAAAGATGGTACTGGAGCGGAGGAGAGCACCCGGTGAAGCAGGTCAGAGGGAGAGAGGGCCCAGGACACAGCCCTGAGGAACACCTACGGTTAGACGGCGTGACCTGGAGAAGAATCCGGCTAAGGAGACGGAGAAGGAGGAGTCAGAGAGGGTGGAGGAGACCCAGGAGAGAGGTTTGAAAATCTGGAGGAGAGAGTGACCGGCAGCACGGGCGGCTGCAGAGAGGCCAAGGAGAATGAGGAGTGAGAAAAGGCCATGGGATGTGGCCACTAAGAGGTCACTGGTCGCTTTGGAGAGAAGTGTCATGGAATGATGAGGTCAGAAGCCAGATAGTATCAGTTAAGAAGAGCCTTAGCTAGCTGCAAAGGGCAGAAGAGCTAGGGGGATGGTTGGGGGGGATCGAGGGTCCAGGGAGGGTTTTGGGGGATGGGTGAGACTGGGCCATGGTTGCGGGCAGAAGGGAAGGAGCCGGTACAGAGGGAGGAATGGAAGATAAATAAGAGTGGGGATGACAGAAGGAACAATCTGCCGGGGGAGACTTGAGCAGGCCTTGGTCAGGAGTAAAGCAAGGCCACCTTATCACGTCAAACCGGTGGGGGAGGAGAGAGAGCTGGAGGCATCTGGGCGATGGGGGATGATGGGAGAAGAGGGCAACTCACAGCACCTGGCCTCAGTTTGTCTGTAAGGTGAGAGTGAGTGTGTGTGTGTAAGAGAGTGCGTGTGGGGGAGTGAATGTGTGAGAGAGAATAAGTGTGACAGTGTGTGAGTGTGAGAGTGAGTGTGTGAAAGAATGAGTGTGTGAGAGTGAGTGTGTGTGGGGGAGAGTGAGTGCATGTGAGAGTGTGTTTGTGAGAGTGAGTGTGTGGGAGAGTGAGTGTATGTGTAAGAAAGTGTGTGGGAGAGTGAGTGTGTATGTAAGAGTGTGATTGTGTGTGGGAGAGTAGGTGAGAGAGAGTGTGTGTGTGGGACAGTGAGTGTGTGAGAGAGAATGAGTGTGTGAGAGTGTGTTTTTGTGAGAAAGTGAGTGTGTGGGTGGGAGAGTATGTGTGTGTGTGTGTGAGAGAGAGTGTGTATGAGTGTGAGTGTGTGGGAGAGTGAGTGTATGTGTAAGAAAGTGTGTGTGGGAGAGTGTGTATGTAAGAGTGTGGTTGTGTGTGGGAGAGTATGTGAGAGAGAGTGTGTGTGTGGGACAGTGAGTGTGTGTGAGAGAGAGAGAGAGAGAGAGAGCCGCTTAGTGTGCTTGGGGCTCCCCACTTGGCTGCTCTCGGGGGGGATGCTGCTCCTGGCCAGAGATGCCCAGCCTCTGGCCTCCTTTCCCAGCCCTGTTTTTAGGGTTCTGTGCGTGTGCGCGAGGCCCCTCGGGCACACTGTTTTGCTGGTGTGGTCACAGCAGGCGACAGGCTCTCCCCCAGGCCTGGGGAGCAGTAGAAGATGGAGGCTGCTGGTCCCTGGGGCCTCCAGAAGGCATGGGGAGCCAGAGTGGGAGCAAATGTTGGGGCTTTTGGCTGGTGTCCTTCAAGGCCGTGTGGCCTCCCGGGAGAGGCCAGGAGGGCCAGGTTCTGGCCCCAGATCTGCTTCTGACGGTCTGGGTCAGCTTGGTCAAGTCCCTTCTCCCCCCGGGCCTCAGTTTACCTCTTCAGTTCAGGGAAAGGGTTGCACGTCATGGTCGAGGTTCCCCGGGATCTGACGTAGCACGTTCTTTGAGCTAAGGGCCTTCCTGGTGACTTCCACCTTCACTGTTCTAAGACCCTGCCGCTCTGACTTTCCATATTCTGTAATCGAAAACCGTTCTTGACTCTAATGGTCTAGGTGCCTGGTGCTCTTTGAAAGAGAGCAGCTCTGGGGCAGCTAGGTGGCGTAGCGGGTAGAGCACCGGCCCTGGAGTCACGAGGACCTGCATTCAAATCCAGGTTCAGACCAAACATTTGACACTTATTAGCTGTGTGACCCTGGGCAAGTCACTTAACCCCAATTGCCTAAAAAAAAAAAAGAAAGAGAGCAGCTTTTAGGGTAGACAAAGTACAGTGGCCACTGCTACAGGGGGCCTGCGGGGCCTGTGGGGCCTGGGCCCAGGACACACGCTCTCCCCTGCACCAAGGAGTGGTGAGAGCACGTCAGGAGATCTTTCTTGAAGGGAAGTCTTAAGGAGCCCAGAAACCCCGGGACCATATCCTCTGACCCCCAGGCACGGACAGCAGGCTTCCTCCTTTGGCAGCCCTCCAAAGCCACTGTCCGCACCACAGGCCCGGTCCTGCGAGGGTAAGAAAACCGCAGCCACCGTGGGAGTGGGACCCAGAATCCTAGAGTGCCTTCCTCTGCCGTCCGCGGGCCGTCTCCTGCAGCTCTGGGGCCCTGGGGAGTCGTGACCTAAACCTGGCTGTGGTTAAGCGCCGGTCGTGGCTGGCTCCCCTCCCTGGTGGCGTGGGGCCAGCCTCTGCCTAGCGCCATTCAGCCAGGACCTCGCGGGCTGGAGCCACGCATGGGCAGGTGCAGAGCCGGCGTCCGAACCGCCAGCCTTGGGCTGGAGAGCTCGTCCGGCCTGGGGTGGGGGGTGAGAGGATGGTCCCCACCCTATCTCGCAGTCACTCACCTGGTTTCTCTCCTATGACAGCTGGCCGGAGGCGTGATCCTGGGGGTGGCCCTTTGGCTCCGCCATGACTCACAGACCACCAGCATCCTCCACCTGAATCTCGATGACAAGCCAGCCCCCAGCACCTTCTACGTGGGTGAGTGGGGCCCAGGCTGGGGGAGGGAGAGCCCGCCCCGGCGGAGGCCAGTCTGGAGGCCTGAGGTCGGGTCCTCCGTGTGCCAGCGACTCGCTGCTGAGTGTCTCCGTCTGTGGGCCTCAGTTTTCCCATCTGTGTAATGGAGGATTTGGACTTGATGGGACAGCTGGTGGGACCCTCAGGCGTGGGGGCCCCTCTGGCCTTGCAGAGGGAGATGTCTTTCCAAACTGCAGCTGGGTTCAGTGGACGAGCCCCCCAGCACCAAGTGTTCCCAGCTTTGTCCTCAGGGTATCAGGAGGAGCAGACTTGGACCCTGCCTGCTCTGGGGGGCCTCCCAGTCTGGGGTGGTGGGAAACATGAGGAGGAACTGCTGCCACGCCCAAAATCAAGTGCCCCATGGGGGTGGGGGGCTGCAGAAACGCACCTGCCCTCTGGAGGGGCCCTGAGGCCTCTGGGACAGCTGGGTCTGGGCTGAGTTTGGAAGGGGTGTAGAAGTCAGATGGGCTGGGGGGAAGGAGTAGGGTGCCCCAGGGAAGGTGCTTGAGCAAAAGCCCAGGGGATAGTCTAGTGAGCCCTGGAGGCCAGGGGAAGAGGGGGAGCCTCAGGCCTTGTGTGCAGCTTCACCTGGCTCTGGCCCAGGCCATTAGATGGGTGACTCCCCCACCCCCATCGCCCCTGGGGCTGGCAGGGGATCCCCACCCCCATCGCCCCCTGGGGCTGGCAGGGGATCCCCACCCCCATCGCCCCTGGGGCTGGCAGGGGATCCCCACCCCCATCGCCCCTGGGGCTGCAGGGGATCCCCACCCCCATCGCCCCTGGGGCTGCAGGGGATCCCCACCCCCATCGCCCCTGGGGCTGGCAGGGGATCCCCACCCCCATCGCCCCTGGGGCTGGCAGGGGATTCCCCACCCCCATCACCACCCTGGGTCTGGCAGCAGGTATTCCTTAGTCCACTTGGGGCTCCTTTACTGGGTAGTCTTGGGTGGCACACTGGTCCTGGGCCAGAGCTACCTGGCCTCCTTCCCTAGCCCTGTTTTTAGGTTTCTACTTTCTTGTTCGCAGAGGAGCATGTCTGTGATGAGGGGCACCTGTGCCCCCCCCCACAGGGATGTGGGTGTGTCGGGCCCTTTGGGTTAGGTTCTGGACCTCGGGGAGGGCAGGGAGTCCTGGGAAGGCCTGGTACTTCCTCACTGTCCCTTGCCTGGAGGGAGGGAGGAGGGCAGGGCTGAGTCACATCCTCCACAGCCCCAGGGGTGCTGGGGCTGCTCCATCCCCTCCATCGCCTTCCCTCTCCCAATGCCTTATTTGGCTTCTGCTTCTCCAAGACAGCAGTCGCTGGGGGGGGGGTGGCGGAGCCCATTCCCCCTGTGGCCCCGGGGATACTCAGCCCCAGTAGGCTAGTTGCCAGGGGCGGGCAGTGGGGAGGTTTCCCTGATGACCTCTGCCCTTTGCTTTGGGGATACCTGGAATAGGGAGGCAGAGGACCTGAGTTCAGCTCCTAATGCTTGTTAGCAGTGTGACCTTCCGCAAATCAGCACTGTCCTGAGCCCCCACTGTCCGTCAAACGAGGGGGTCAGCCGAGGGTCTCTTAGCCAGAGGGCTCCCTTGGGCGTCTTGGCCGTGACGGGAGACATCTGGGTCCTCAAGCCCCTCGGCTCTGTCTCTTTTCACCTTATATAGTTGTGCTAAAGGAGATGGCAGCTGCTGTATGTCTGCCGCCAGAGGAGAGGCCCGCTGAGTTCTGTTGGGGGCTGGCACTGGCCAGATGCCTCTGGCCTGGCCCAGCCCACCCAGCTCTCCAGCTACCCACCACAGAAGGCTGCCAGTCCCGGGCCCCATGGAGGGGAGGAAGGTGGTGGGGCCACCAACCCCCGGCAGGACAGGGCATTCCCTGCCCGCTGAGAGGCTGAGGTGCAGGGAGGCGCTGTCCCCCCTTTCCCCTGGAAGCCAGCAAGAGCCTTGGCTGGCACGGGCCCCTCAGCTCCCCTCGGAGGCGGCCAGTGTTTGTGTGGGGGCTGACCTCACCCCCACTCCTGCACTCTGAAGCAGTTGCTTCTCAGAGACCCTGCTAGGGCCACGATCCTCTCCCCCCCCCCCCGGGTTATCCTCAGCTCTGAGGAGCCTCCAATGGACCGGGAGGGGAGGCCCCTTAGGTCTGGCTCTGAGATTCCCTGGGCTCCTCAGTCCTAGCTGGCAACCACGCCTCCCCTCCAGGCCGTCAGCACACATGTGCATGATGCAGCCACGGTTCTTTGAGCTCCCAGGGGTGGCACGTCTACCTGGACCCGTGCTGCTCCCTGGCATGCTGGAGCAGAGGGGTGGTTTCATGGGACCCTGGGGAGTCCCTGGTACAGCTTTCTGAGCAGAGGCCGGGGCTGGGGCTGTTGCCAGGCAGAGGTAGCCTGGCCTGGTGTGGGTTCCCTTGGCACTAGATGGCAGCTGCTGCAGGCCTGCTCACCATGCCCGGCCCGCCTCTGGGATGAGTTTTCCCTCCTCTGTACGTTTGTGGTCTCAGGTGTGCCAAGGCCTCTCCCCCATCCCCAGGGCTGGGCCCAGGAGGTGAAGGGACCCTCCCAGGGGCACCCAGCAAGCTGTGATGACATTGGTCATAGGAGCCGTGATGATGGCGGCGTTGGGTTGTCTACCAGGCATTTTACGGTCCTCTGACTCCCCTGGGACGTCGGGACAATTAACCTAGACCGGCTCTGTCTGGGACGTCAGCGGAGCGTGCCCTCCCCTCCTGCTGCCAACGTGCAGCAGCCCCTGCCTGCAGCCTCCAGCCCAGGAGGGCGGTCTGCCCAGGAGCAGGTCACGCAGCCGAGTTATCTGGGACACGTGGACTTGAACCCAGCTCCTGCTGGTGTTTAGAAGAGAGCGGGTGAAGAACAGAGTGTAGACAGCTTGTTCAAGGGGGAGGAGATGGGAGGATTCAGAGGCTTTTATTGTTTTAAGGAAGGGGGGAGTGGGCATCCGGGAGGGGGTCAGTACCAAGGGAGAGAAGAGAGAGTGGGGGTGAGAGGCATGCGTGCGCACAAGTGTGCGGGCACGTGTCTGTGTAAGGCTGGCAGGGCCCAACCCCCCACCATAAGTCAGGCTTGCAGGAGATGGTGAGGGGGGACCCCGGAGGTTGAGGGGCGTCTCCAGTTTTGTCTGGTAAAGTCTGAGGCACGTGGTCCTCAGCACAAGGTGCTGGGGGAGGCTGGCGGGGACAGGTTTGGAGTCGGGCAGACGGACTGCTTTTCTGTGGCCCGTGGAGCTTGGTGGCCCACCTTTGGTGTCCTTAGGTGGGTGGGAGTCAGCCACGGCTGGGCTGGACACAGAGACCTGGGGGATAAGACAAGGGCAGAGCAGACTTTGTCACCGGGGCTGAGTCACGGCCTGGCCACACACGCCATCGCTGCTCCCCCCGCAAGGGCTGCTCCTGGACTCTGGGCCCTGCTCCAGAAGCAGGCTGGCACTGGGCTCCAGAATAGGCTCCAGGCAGGGCTGCTGGTGCAGGACGGGGGGCCGCGGCGATGAGAACCCCTCCAGCACCCTTCTGCTGAGGCCTTCCTTCCGCCAGTCCCAGTACCAAGTCCCATAGCCACCTGTGGCCAGTGGGACGGGAGCCCAGACTCCATGGGCCTGGGCAGGCCTTGTGGCATCCACAGCAGGTGGCCTTGGAGTCACAGAATCTTGGTGTGGGAGGGGACCTTGGAGCTGGTCAGAGAGATAAGGGGCTTACCCGGCTCCCCGCGGGGAACCCAGGTCATGGCTGTGGGGCCTTGGTGGGGGAAGGAGGGCCCCAAAGCCTGGGAGCCACAGTGCCGAAGGGAAGCCCCACCCCTTGCCAACCGTGTGACCTGGGGGACCCCTCCAACGGGCCTGTGCCAAATGTGGGGCTGGTGCCCCTGGGCCTCGATTGGACTCCCCACTCCCTACAGCTGTGATCCCACGGACTCGAGCAGGCTGTCTAAAGGGGCCCATTTGGGGGCCGGGGAGGAGGTGGTCACCGCTGGTCTGAGGATGCCTGGGAGCGAGCCCTTGGCCCTCCCATGGGACGGCCTCGTGGGGGGATGGGGAGCCAGTGGCCCTGCTCAGCTTCTCCACAGCTGGTGGGGCTCCCAGGGACGGGACAATGGGCTTATTGTGCCCGCCTGGAAAGCCTGGGGAGTGGTAGGACTTCAGCCCGGCCCCTTAGGGCACGCCGCGGTGATGGGCCCTGCCTTCCCCCTCTGCTCTGCTCCTCCTGGGATTCTGGAGCCAGAACCAGAGGGACCTTTAAAGAGCAACGAGTCCAGCCTCCTCCTCTCGTAGATGAGGAAACTGAGGCAGAGGTTAGGTGAGGCCAAGCTCACGCAGTGAATATCTGAGGCAGGATTTAAACTCGGGTCTTCCTGACTCCAAACTTAGCACTTCATTGGATCAACTATCTCTGTCTCCATCTCCTTCTGTCTGTCTCTGTCTCTGTCTCTGTGTCTGTCGCTCTGTCTCTCTCTCTCTGAGCTCCATCCACCTTCCCTTCCTCATACACAGTTCCTCCTCTGCTCTGGACTCTTCAGGGCTACCTTGCTGCCTCACCTCCTTTTCCTAACCCTCAGAGTCGGGGGTCACCCCACCTTTCTGGCCTTGTTATTCTCCTCCATATTCTGCAGAGTAGAAGAGCCCTGAGCGTGGCCTGTGCTCTCCCACCACTGTGCCTTTGCTGAAGCTGTGCCCTCCTCTTGGTGCCCTCTCTCCCTCTCTGACTTCCCCGTGGAATTGCCGATCTTCCCTCCCTGCCCCATTTCCTGTAACTACCTCAGACTTCAGCAGCAGTCCTTGCTCTTCCAGACTCAGTTTCCCCATCTGGTCCCCTCCCCTCCAGCCCTTCGAGAGCAGAGCTCTCTTAAAGGATGGTTACTCCTATCGGCCCGTTGGAGGGGTCCCCCAGGTCACACGGTTGGCAAGGGGTGGGGCTTCCCTTCGGCACTGTGGCTCCCAGGCTTTGGGGCCCTCCTTCCCCCACCGAGGCCCCACAGCCATGACCTGGGTTCCCCGCGGGGAGCCGGGTAAGCCCCTTATCTCTCTGACCAGCTCCAAGGTCCCCTCCCACACCAAGATTCTGTGACTCCAAGGCCACCTGCTGTGGATGCCACAAGGCCTGCCCAGGCCCATGGAGTCTGGGCTCCCGTCCCACTGGCCACAGGTGGCTATGGGACTTGGTACTGGGACTGGCGGAAGGAAGGCCGCAGCAGAAGGGTGCTGGAGGGGTTCTCATCGCCGCGGCCCCCCGTCCTGCACCAGCAGCCCTGCCTGGAGCCTGTTCTGGAGCCCAGTGCCAGCCTGCTTCTGGAGCAGGGCCCAGAGTCCAGGATGCCCTGGGAGAGAGAGTTCAGGGCTGTGATTTTGGGGCATCGTCATGGTAACCCAGGGGCTCGTGAGCCAGAGAAAGGCATGGGGGTGGAGAGGCTGGGCAGTGCCCGCAGCTTGTGGGCCATCCTGGCAGGCTTCTACCCAGCGGCCCCTCCCCCTCCCTGTCCCGATGCCCAGCGCGGCTGCAGACCGGGCAAGAGAACTGGGACGTTCTGGTCACCATGCGAGGTGTCCTCAGACAGGCGCCAGGGAAGTGAGAGTGGGGCCAGCGTCGGGGACGGGGGTGCCGCCGCCAAGCTGCCTCAGCTTTTCACAGTGGCAGGCATAGAGAAGTGAGAGCCCTTTGTGTGTGTGGCCTTGTTTAAGCCTCTCAGCAACCTCAGGAAGTGGGTGCTGTTGGGATCCCCATTTTACAGATAAGGAAACTGAGGCAGACAAGTGACTGGCCAGGAAGTGTCTGAGGCAGGATGGGAACTCAGGTCTTTCTTCCTCCCAGGTCCACCCATCCACCCATTGCTTCACTCTGGCTCTGCCTTAGATTCAGGTCCTAACTGTGACCATGGGCAGACCTTCACCTTTCTCTCTGGGCCTGAGAGGCTGATTGAGATCATGGCTAAGACCCTCCCAGAGCAGGCTTTCCCTGGTGTGCCTGGCGCGGTGCCCTGCCACGCACCCACTGGGCTGCTTTGTCTGCCTCGGTGGGGCTCTGGGGTGCAAGCAAGTCCGGCCACCTTGGGCCATGTCCCTCCCAGCCTGAACTGGTTCCCTCACTAGTCCTGCTCTCTCCCCAGAGATAGAGCTTTGTGGACAGGGAGGGAGCACAGAGACTTCATTGGTCTGGAACTCCTTACAGGAGTGGGTCTGCAGTCAGGAGCCAGCCTGGGGCCTCAAGAGCCCTGGGAGAGGCTGGGAGGCTTCCCGGAAGAGGTGCTATCTGAGCTGCTCCTAGAGGAGGAGGGGGATGCCCCAGGGAGGTTGGGGAAGGGAGGTGTTCTGCCTCCCCCCAACACAGTGGGAAGCTCACTACCTCCTGAGATAGCTGTGAATATCAGAAGTATTTCCTGGCCTCTTTGCAGCTCCTCCCATGGTCCCTGGCCCCAATGCTTGAAGGTGGTGATCTGTTGGCATCTTCTCTGTGCCCACCCCGCATCCTCTTGCCCCGGCCTGGCCCCTGGCAGCTTCTGAGGCTGACCCCGGGCTCTGAGTAGTCTGGGCTCCAAACTCCTCCAGTTCAGGGTGGGCAGAGGTGGGGGAGGAGCCGACGTCCTGGCCTGGTGTTGAGAAGGGCAGCTGTGCCCGCAACCCCCATCATTCTGCACCCTCCTTGGCCAAGGACTTGTACATGTTCAGTACAATTGCCTTGCTGGTCAGCGTTCAAGGGCTTGCCGTATGCCACGCCCTGTGCTGGGCATACATATGCAAGGGAAAAGAAAAATGGTCCCTGCCCTCAGGAAGCTTCCACAAGTGCAGCTGCCTAGACACGTACAGGAGGTGGTTCTGCGTGCATGGGAGGGTGGGGCCCGGGCAGGGAGCAGGGTGTTCCAGGCAGGTTGAGTGGCAGAGGGCAGAGGTCGCTGGCCGCCTCCTAAGCATTGGCTGATGGAGCTGCAGGGCCTGGGGACGGCCCCTAACTCAGAGGAGCTGAGGGGGCCGGGCCAGGGGGCAGTCTCTAACTCGGAGGGGCTGGGGGGCCAGGGCCGGGGGTGGCCCCTAAATCAGAGGGGCTGGGAGGGCTGGGGCTGGGGGCAGCCCCTCAGCAGCCCTGTCTGTGTTTCTCTCCCAGGCATCTACATCCTGATTGCTGTGGGTGCCGTGATGATGTTTGTGGGGTTCCTCGGCTGCTATGGCGCTATCCAGGAGTCTCAGTGCCTGCTGGGGACGGTAAAGAGACCAGCTGCCTTCCGTGAACATCCACTTCCCCATATGGAACCCCCCCCCCAAAAAAAACAAGCCCAAGCTCTTCGGGTTCCGCAGAGCCCGCCCCTCATCTGAGGCCTTCCTTGAGAGCAGCCTAACCAGGAGGCACAGAACTGTCGGGGCCTTCCAACCCAGGATCCGTCCTCTGATAAGGGGTCAGGCCCAAGCTGGAAGGCACTGATGAGCCGCACAGCCCCAGAGGAGGGCACAGAACCAGGAGGGGGCTCGGGCCCGCCCATGCGTTCCCTCCATGTGTCCCCAAAGGGGGATGGTGGGGACAGCCAGGCCAGGCGAGGGCTGGGGGGGTGAGGGGGACTGGCCGGGTGGGTTATCAAGGGGACACGGGCACCTTGAAAGGATCAGGACAGAGGCATGCTGGTGGTGACTGCCCTGGGCGAGGAGGCTGAGGAAAGATTCTCTGCCTGAGAAGCAGGGGCACCTGTCACCCTCCACACGGGCTGGAAGGTCGTCCCATCCTAGAGTCACAGATTTAGGCAGATGCAGCCTCGACTCCCAGGCTCAGCCGCCTTTGGGCTCAGGTGGACTCAGATGGGACAGGTGGGCAGAAAGCAGTGAGCCGCCTGCCCAGGGCAGCCAGGGAAGGCCAGCAGGCAGGGTGGAGCTCAGGGATTTGAATGTCTGAGTTAGTGCTGACCACAGCTTGTAGCTTGGCTTGGGTGCCTTTCTTGGGGACCTGTCGGGGCAGGGTAGGAGGAGGTAGGGCTCAAAGCCAGTCCAGCCAGTCCTCAAGGCCATGGCCAAGCAAGGGAAGGGGAAGGGAATGGTGATTGATCATGTGCCTGCTGTGTGCCAGGCACTTTACAAATATCTCATTAGCACCTCACAAAAATCCTGGGAGGTCAGAGCTATTATGACCCCCACTTTATGGATGAGGAAACTGAGGCAGGTGGCAGCTAAGTGAGTTGCCTAGGGTCACATGGCTAGGAAGTGTGTGAGGCCAGATTTAAGCTCGGATCTTCCTGACCCCAGAGCCAGCCATATCCACCGCAGGCCTGCTGAGCCGGGTGTTTATGTGGGACCCTGTAGGCCCCATTCATCAGCCTGGTGCGTGCTGGTGGCTGTCACTGGGCCTGGCTGTGTCCACAGTTGGCCAGCCCCCCGAGTCCTGGAGCTTCTTGGCCTGCTGTGGGGCAGAGAAGAAGAGGGGAACCTCTCTGCAGACCTCAGTTTCCTTGTCTGTAAAACAAAGCAGTTGGTGCTGTGGTCAAAGTAGATCTGATCAGTGTCTGCTGGGTGGGATTGAGTTAACCCAGGTGCTCTCTGAGGGCCTCCCTCCCTGGACAGCCTGCCTGCTCAAGCCCCTTCCAGCTCTCAGGATCCGGGTCCCACTGGCCTTACCAGTCCTGACGTGTCCCACGTTCCGGGCCTGCCCCGCACACGGCTCCCGTGTTGGGAGGCCCAGACCTTCTATGTTCTAAGGCCCTCCCAGTGCTCAGAATCTCTTTGTAAAGCCAGTGGTGACGTTCCCTTTTCCGAGTCCTCTCCCAAGACTTTGGCCCTTGGCACGCATTCTCGGTCTGTGCTGGACATAAAGGTTCAGCTCCCAGGCCTCACTCAGTGTCACATGACCGGGGTTTAGATGACCCCTGACGTTTGGTCATAATGTTTCACTGGCACGTGAACCCTGGCACTCTTGGGGAAGGGGAGCCAGCCTTGTGCCCTTGGAGTCCAAGGGGTAGAACCAGGAACCCCCGGCGGTTGGGGGAGGCTGGGGGTATGTGCCCGAGGCCTGTTCAGGCTCGCGGGCAGACGGAGGGGCCCCCTCCCGGGCAGTCTCTGAGCAGACTGGAGCGGATGCCTACTCCAAGGGATGCTTCTTCAAGGATGCTGGGTGCACGACATGCCGCGCCTGTCTCAGATGCTGGGGAAACCAGCTCCTCCTCTCTTTGTAAGGTGGCAGAGTGGTAGCGCTGACCCTCGAGCTCTCTTAGCACAGTACCTCCCCTTCTACTCCAAGAGAGAAAGCAGATGCCCGAGGTGGGCGGGGATGCCTATGGCTAACTCAGGGCATCCAGGCTGCACCTCCAGCCCAGGTCTGGGCCCTTCCAGCCCAAATCCCTCCCACCTCCCCCCGCCCCGATCATGGGTCTCTTGGGGGCACCCATCTGCCCCTGCTCACAGCAGGGCACAAATCACTTTTCACTTCTGGTTTTGACAGTTTTTCACCTGCCTGGTGATCCTGTTTGCCTGTGAGGTGGCTGCTGGCATCTGGGGCTTTGTCAACCGGGACAAGGTAAGCTGGGGAAGTGGGCCGGCCCTCCGTCTGTCTTCAGGGGGAGCCTCAGGGGCCCGGTTCGGCGTTTGGGACGGTTAGAAGCCTGGAGAGCCGGGCTCTGAGCACTCCTTCCCTCCTTTGTGGCTCCTGGCTCTTTGGAGATGGGGCCGAGACAATCTTGGCCAGCCCCCAAGCCCATAAGGATATTGAGGCCATCCTGGGCAGCCCCCTGAGGACAATAAAGTCAGTGATAATAATACTGCTCTGGACAGAAGGCGGTCGGCTGCTTTCTTCTGGCCCGCCCCAGATGGGGCATGGGGGTTGGGGGGGGACTTGGGGGGCACATATCAGATCTACTCTCTTCTCCCTTCCTCCCTCCTTCACCCCCTCCCCCACCCAGAGGGAGCTGAAATCTTTCTAGCTCTTGTGCAAACCTGCTGAAGCAGAGTAGAGACTTGTGGCCATCGGGACGCTCGGGGCCACTGCTAGGGGCAGGGCTTAGCCAGAAGCCCTCAATGCTCCTGAGGCCCCATCCCTGGCTGGGCTGCTCTGGGGAATGGGAGCTGAGGCAGGGAATGAATGCATCTGTCAATGTTAGAGGCTGCCGAAAGGGGTGCTCCTTGGGAGTCCTCTCAACACTGCCCAGGAACCCCACCTCCTCCCACAGACCCATTACTTATCCCCACCGGCCACAGCCTGGGAGCCAGGAGACCGACATTCTGGTCCTATCTCTGACATTTCATAGCTGGGTGACCTCGGGCTAACGCCTTTCCCTCTCGGGGCTCACTTCCCCTCAAGGGCTTCAGGAGGTGCTTTCTTAAGCGTGTCACGTTTGAAAATCGGGGTAAACTGAGAGACAAGGTTCCAAGCAGGCTCACTGTATTAGCTGGGCTGGCAGTAACCAATCATTTCGTCAGGTCCTCTTAAAAACCCCCAGCCCCGGAGGTCAGGTTCCCCAGCCTTCGTGGAGTTGTGGGAGGTGCCAGAGAACCCAGACCAGAGCGGGGCAGGTGGGGAAGGTGCTAAGATTGGGCAGAAGAGATTGCCATCTGAAAAGGCAAAGTCACCAGGATCGGTCTTGCAGCCTGTGGCTGAGAAACGCTCCTTGTTTGAGTGCAGCCGTGAGGTTAGAGACAGGGGCCCAGACGTCCTTGAAGGTAGCTCTGGAGCAGAGACACCAGACCCGACTCCTCAGGGTCCCCGTGCCTCCTTTAAGGGCAGCAGATTTCCCCAACACGAGCAGGAGGGCCAGCGTCTAAACTGACTCGTCCCAGGCCAGCTGAGTTTCCCGACTGAGTTCAGGCACAAGGCCTCGTGGCGTAGGCAGCTGCAGGACAAAATCGATTAGCTGTATATAGGATCAGTGGAAAAAAGACAATCCATCATCTGATTATTTCAGCCACAAGAAGCTGGTTCCTATCAACCCAGAGCAGGGTTGTGTCTGCGGCCCTACTCTGTGCCCACCCCCAGGCATTGCCCCAATCTCAGCTGTCCCCACAAGCTCTGTCCAGCTGACAAGAGGCATGGGCAGCCGCCAGGCCCCGCCACGGCCTGGCCGCCAGTGACGCCACCCTCTTCTCTCCTCAGATCGCCAAGGACGTGAAGCAGTTCTACGACCAGGCTCTGAATAAGGCCGTGCTGGAGGACGATGCCAGCAATGCCAAGACTGTGGTGAAGTCCTTCCATGAGACGGTGAGAGGTGGCAATGGGGGTGGGGTGGGGGTGGGAGGGCAGCAGGCTCTGCCCCACTCTGGCCTCAGCTTCCCCACCTGGACAGCGAGGACGGTGTGGATGGTGTAGACGTGCTTGTCTGGGAGAGGCTGCCAGGCTGGATAGGCCCTTCTCGCTCTGACGGGCCAGGGCGCCTGTCCGCGGCGGTGGTGGCCATCGGTGAGGGGCTGGAGTCATTTATGTCCTTCTCTCTTACAGCTGGGCTGCTGTGGCTCTGACGCGCTAACCTCCTTAATCACGGCTGCTGTCAAAAGTGAGCTATGCCCAAGTGGAAGCAACGTCCTCATCACCCCCTTTAAGGTAAGGTCCGTCCGCCCGCGGGCAGGTGGAGATGCTGGCCGACTGGGCGGGGAGCCGGGTCTGAGCTGGGGGATCTCGGTGGGGGCGAGGCTGTGCCCCAGCTGCCTCCTCTCTTTCTCCCTCCCTCCTGTGTGCGCATGGATGTGGGTCTGGGGGTCTCCCCGCGGCTCACTCTCCAGGTCTCGGTCTTTCCCTCTTGTCGATGATTTCTGTCTCATGTGCTTGGCCTGTTTCTCTCAGCCTGCCTCAGAAGGCTGGGCGGGTGGGGGGTGGGCGGGCAGCCATTCCAGCTGGTCACGGGGGCACCTCTCCTGCTCTTCTCTGCAGGCCAACTGTCACCAGAAGATCGATGAACTCTTCTCGGGGAAGCTGTATTTGATTGGCATTGCCGCCATCGTGGTGGCTGTCATCATGGTGAGGAAGGGAGCCCAAAGGGGAGGGTCACCTGGGAAGGCCTGGCAGGCCCCAGCCACTGGAGTATTGTTCACTGATGGTGGAACCCCAATAACGGCTTCCCCCAAGGGCCTTTGCTGTCTTCGTTTGAATCCATGACATGGACAGGGACGGATGGCACCAAGCTGGAGGGTGGGGGAGAGACCTGGCACCGAGCTGGGCAGCCCAGAACAGTGGCATAAATCCAGTAGGGATGAAGATGAAGTCTGGCATTAGGGATCAAAAATCAGCTCTGCAGTCAGGCAGCAATTGTTCTGAAAAGGATCTGGGGGTCTGAGTGGGCCACAAGCTCCGTAGGCATGGACAGTGTGCTGTGGCAGCCAGCACAGCTAATTGGATCTGAGGCTGCCTTGCAAGCAGGACTAGGGGAGGGAGGCGTTTGGCCCTCTATGCTCGGCCCCCATCAGACCTCACCCAGAGAACAGTGGTTGTTTCTGGGGCCACATTGGAGGCAGGGCAGTGCCAAGCTGTAGAGGCCAGAGCAGGAGGTGAGCAGGACAGGCGAGAGCCTAGAATCCATGCAGTCTGAGGAACAGTTAGCCTGGAAGAGAGGAGATGGGGGGACATGGCCCCGTCTTTAACGCACTCCTTCCCCTGCAGATTTTCGAGATGATTCTCAGCATGGTCCTGTGTTGCGGTATTCGGAACAGCTCCGTATACTGAGGGCCACACCTCTGGGGCTGTTCTGAGGTGTGGGCAGGCAGGAGAGCAGGGGAGCCCCCAGACTGTCGCTGAGTGACCAGGAGACGTCTGAAGAGAAATCTAGAGAATTATGTATAGAGATGTTTCTGATATTACCGTACAGTACTTATTAGCATTTTTACTTTGGAGGGTTGGGGCAGGGGGGCGGGGGCGGGGGTGTTTTTATTTTTGAAATAAAGAAGTTGCCAGATCCCTTTCTGTACCTCCGGCTACACGTGGGTCCTGTGTAGCCAGGGCCTCGAGGGGGTCTCCTGGGCTGAGGGCAGCAGAGGAGCCTGCAGGGAGGCCCGGCTCAGGGGGCCCCCATCTTCCTGCAGGGCTTGGAGGTAGGGCAGGGACAGAGGCCCTTGCTGGCCCTGCCTTCTGAGGTGGGGAAGGGGAGATGTAGGACCCCAGCCCTGAGGCCCCCTCACTCACGCAACTGTGGGCCTTTTTTTTTTTTTTTTAACCAATCTGCGTTATTTTTCCCATATCTACTTTCTTGAGCAGCATTTCTGACGTTCTCACACTTTCTGGCCTTGTATGTCTGACTCCGCCCCTTAGACTATAACTTGGCCTTCCAGGACAGGCCCAAACCAGCTCATTTCAATAAAAGGAAAGAACAGCAGGATTGGTGTGGACCCTTCCCTGTAAACCCTGCTTGGCAGGAGGCCCCCTGGGGCTGGGGAGAGGTGGGGGTGGGGGACCTTTAGTTCTGAGGAAAACTGACCAGTCCTGTGGAGGCTCAGAGAGGCCCCAGGGCTGTGGAGGCCCAGAGAGGCCCCTGCTGGCTGGCCTTCCTACCCTCCTGCCTGCCAGCCTCAGTCTCGGCCCCTTCTGTCCCTACCTCCTGGCTCCCCTGGCCTGAGTGGCGGGGGGGGGGGGGGGGGGGCCTTGGCCTGGGGGGGGGGCTGGTCTGAGGGGAGCTGTGTCTCGCCCTCCTGGCAGTGGCTGGCTTGGCCTATGGACGATAGACCACCTTTGGCCCGAAGGCCCAGCCCGGCCCACCCTTCTCAGCCCACTTTGAGCCCTTCACCAACGCCTGGCTCTGCTGCCTGGAACCTCCCCCACTGTTCTGGGATGTTCAGAAGGGAGGCCTCCAGAGGCAGGCATTTGGAAGTGGGTGATGGAGCCCTAGAAAGCCTTAAAGGAACACTGCCCAGAATGTCCTTTGTTTGGGGGGAGGGGGCAAAGCTCCCCAGGCCTGCCTCCTCAGGCCCTCCCAGCCAGTGTCTTCTGTGCTGCACTGGGCATGCATGGATGTATGTTTACGTAGATGTTGTATGTACTCAAGTATGTTCCGGGCACAGGCCCTGTGTCTTTCCTGGCCCTGCTATCTGGCCTGCAGGCAGCAGCTGGGCCTCATTCCTGTGCCGTGCCTCGGGGTTCCATATTTATGTTCTGTGGGTAGCTGGGGGCTCCCGCGGGGCATCCTCACAGAAGGGACCAGGCTGGGCCAGGAGGGGTCACATGTGGAGTGTTGTTTCCTGGGTTTAACCACTGTCCCCCTGTTTCCTGGGTTTCTGCCCAGGTCTGGAGTCCAGGCTCCCGGATGGGGCCCCAGCCTGCACACAGCAGTGTGCCAGGGGCCAGGCGCCATCCCTGATGCCCTTGAGGCTGAGAACCCATCCTGTGGGTCCTGGGCTCCCCCCAAGGAGGGAGAGCAAGCCCTCCAGCCTCCTGCACATGGGCAGGGGTGCTGCTGGCCTCTCCCAGGAGGGGCTGGGAGGCAGGAAGGCACCCCCAGGAGGAGGTGGCCCACAGAAAGCTTGGCCCTCTGGCCCCCGAGCTCCAAGGCTGGTTCTGCCCTGGCTCCGACTCTCTTCTCCTTGTGTGTCGTGCTTCACCCTGGCCTTCTTCAGTGATGCTTGCCCTGGGCCCCGTGCCCTATGCCCTGCGCCCCATGCCCCGGCTCTCAGAACCGTCCCTTGCCTGACTGGGCTCAGACCGTCCCCAGGTGTTCCCCATCAGACCAGAGAGGGGCCCTGCATGCCCACTGTCTGCTCCATCTCCAGGCGGGCAGGGCTGAGGGCTTGGGTGTCCCCTACCAGGCCCATGCACAGTCAGGAAAGAGTGCACCCTTTTTCTTTCAGCTCCTAAAGCCCATTCTGTAGTCTGTGGCCCCCCCTCCCCAGCAGTCTCTGTCCCTGGGAGATGAGTCCCCAGCAATGAGATGGGGGGCGAAGAGTCTGAGTCAGGGAAAGGAGGGGCCCACCCCCTCCCTGCTGCCCTGTCTGGGGGGGAGGGGGGACAGCATGGCCTGAGGGTCCCCCGCCCCCCTTTGCTCACTCTTGTCTGTCTGCCTGTTTACCCCACATGTGACTCCCTTTTCAATCCACGTATCCAATAAAGCAAGCGCTCTAATCTGTGAATCTGTGGCTCTTTTGGGGGGCTCAGCTGGCCTCACCTGACTCTGAGGAGGAGAGGTGAGGTTCCGGTCCAGCCTTCCTGTGACTGGCTCTGGGGCACCCTCCCACGGGAGGCAATGATGGCAAAGGGCTGTGGCGCCCTTTCCCAGCCACCCCAAGAGGAGACACTGGAGTCCTGGGCCTCACTGGAACATCTGCCAGTTAAGGGGATCCCCGGGAAGGACCCGGGCAGCTAGGGTGTGCCACAGTGTCAGGAAGACTCATCTTCACGAGTTCCAATCCAGCCTCAGACATTTACTAGCTCTGACCTTGGGCAAGCCACTTCACCCTGTTCGCCTCAGTTTCCTCATCTGTAAAAGGAGTTGGAGAAGGAAATGGCAAGCCACTTGGGTATCTATGCCAAGAAATCTCGAGACGGGCTCACAAAGAGTCAGATGGGACTGAAAAACAAAACCAGAAAGGACCAGTAGCCTCATTTTACAGATGTGGAAACCGAGGCACAAAGAAGGGCCAGAAGGTTGCCCAGCAGTTTTCTGACCAAGGGGCTATCCACTGGCCATCCGTTCCATCCCCGTCCCCAGCTTTGTCCCTCCTTCCCCCACGTGGCCCAGCGCAGGCGGTAACTGGTGGGGATCCAGGTCCCCAGGGCAGGCTCTGGCCTTCCCCGACAACAGGGAGTCCCTGAACGCGAGCGATGGGGAGAGGGCGACCGAGGACACGCGCCCGGGGGGCCTACGCTGGGCATGAGGCCATTCTGGAACCTGGGAGAAGGCCAAGAGGCCCTCACGGGGAGGGAGGGATTTCAGAAAGGACGTTTGTCAAAGGCCTGGACAATTGGATGGACCTCGATCGAGTCTAGGCCAAGCAAGGCTGGAAAGTTCGCAGGTCACTGGCAACGGGCTGGGAAGGCCTTGAATGCCAGGACTAGTGTGAGAAGCACGGTGTCTGGCAAAGAGGTAGCTCCCATGACCCCCACCCTTGGTCGGGCCACCCTGGAGAACTGCATTCACTTCTAGTCACCCCATGCTCCCAAAGGAACTGGAGAGGGGACCCCCAGGATGGGCGACAGGGTGGCCATGAGAGCCTCTCCCAGGGCGTGGCTCACTCGTGGACTTGACTATGTAACTACAAGAAAGGGGAAACCAAGTCCGGGAGCCCCAGGTGCTGGGGAGGGCAGATCCTCTCTTTTTCGGCACCCCTCCCCCCAGCTCTTCCTGGCCACCCCCAAACACTCGTCAAAGGGCCAGCGAGCTCCGAATCGTCTGCGGATTCTGTGGAAAGAGGGGGTAACAATGTAGCGACGTGAGGCCCGCCAGCCAATGGGGAGACGGGAGCCTCGTCAAGTCCCGCCTCC